TTTTTATATTTTGATTTTTTCGTTTCAATATTCTAAGGTCATAGGTGCAATTCGAGAATTTTTTGAGGTGTTTTATGTATTTTTATTGATTCTTAAAAATATTTTAATTATTTTTTTGGTTTGATATTCTAAGGTCATTGGTGCAATTCGAAAATTTTTTGAGGTCTTTTTATTAATTGTTCTTCATTTTTATATTTTGATCATTTTTTCGTTTTGATATTCTAAGGTCATTGGTACAATTCGAGAATTTTTAAAGATGTTTTTATGTATTTTTCTTGATTTTTATATTTTTTGGACATAAACGAGGAAAAATTATTTTTTTTGTTATTTTTCGGACAGTTACAAAAAGAGTAAACTTTTGATCTTTTTTCGTTTTGTTATTCTAACGTCATTGGTGCAATTCAAGATTTTTTGAGGTGTTTCTATGTATTTTTCTTGATTTTTATATTTTTTGGACATTTACGAGAAAAAATTAATTTTTTTTGTTATTTTTCGGACAATTTCCAAAAAGATTAAATTTTGATCATTTTTTCGTTTCGATATTCTAAGGTCATTGATGCAATTCGATAAATTTTTGAGGTGTTTTATGTATTTTTCTTGATCTTTATATTTTTCAGACATTTACGAGGAAAAATTATATTTTTTGGACAGTGACGAAAAATAATACAATTTTGATCATTTTTTCGTTTCGATATTCTTAGGTCATTGGTGCAATTCGAAATTTTTTGAGGTGTTTTATGTATTTTTCTTAATTTTTATATTTTTCGAACATTTACTAGGAAAAAATAATTATTTTGTTATTTTTCGTACAGTTACGAAAAAGAATAATATTTTGATTATTTTTTCGTTTCAATATTCAAGGGCCATTGGTGCAATTCAAATTTTTTTAAAGGTGTTTTTATGTATTTGTCTTGATTTTTATATTTTTTTGGTCATTTATGAGGAAAAACAATAATTTTTTTTGTTATTTTTCGGACAATTACAAGAAAGAGTAAAATTTTGATCGTTTTTTCGTTTTGATTTTCATAGGTTATTGGTGCAATACGAAATTTTTTTTGAGGTGTTTTTATGTATTTTTTTTATTTTTATATTTTTCAGACATTTAAGAGGAAATATTAATTTTTTTTTGTTATTTTTGGGACCATTATGAAAAAGAGTAAAATGTTTATCATACTTTTGTTTCCATATTCTAAGGTCATTAGTTCAATTCGAAATTTTTTTTGAGGTGTTTTTATGTATTTTTCTTGATTTTTATATTTTTGGACATCTACGAGGAATTTTTATTTTTTATTTTTCACACTGTTACCAAAACGAGTAAAATTTTGATCATTTTTTTTTGTTTCGATATTCTAAGGTCATTGGTGCAATTCGAATTTTTTTTTGAGGTGCTTTTATGTATTTTTCTTGAATTTTATATTTTTCGGACATTTACGAGGAAAAAATAAATTTTTTTGGACAGTTACGAAAAAGATTAAAATCTTGATCATTTTTTTTCGTTTCGATATTCTAAGGTCATTGGAGCAATTCAAATTTTTTTTGAGGTGTTATTATGTATTTTTCTTGATTTTTATATTTTTCGGACATTTAAGATGAAAAATTAAATTTTTTGTTATTTTTTGGATAGTTACAAAAAAGAGTAAATTTTTTTTTTTATCATTTTTTCATTTTTATATTCCAAGAACATTGGTTCAATTCAAATTTTTTTTGAGGTGTTTTTATGTATTTTCCTAGATTTATATATCTTTCGGACATTTACGAGGAAAAAATTATTTTTTTTGGACAGTTACGAAAAAGTGTAAATTTTGATCATTTTTCGGTTTGATATTATAAGGTCATTGGTGCAATTTGAAATTTTTTGGCGGTGTATTTATGTATTTTTCCTGATTTTATATTTTTCGGACATTTAGGAGGAAAAAATAATTTGTTTTTTGTTATTTTACGGATAGTTACGAAAAAGTATAAAATTTGGTCTAACCCATCGGTAGCCCTCTAAAGTTGGTACTAACTTTTACTTAGACATTGCTTAAAGGAATTTTTAAGCTATTCAGGAACTCAACTGAGAATACAATTTTATCATATCATCAGACAATAATATGACATGTTTGATTTTCGGTAAAGCTATAACATTTCCACAGTAATATTAAAAAGGGAGTAATAAGTTATTACAAATTGAATCTCTATTTGATCAAAAGTGGTATAGCGCTATATTAATTTTTTTACAATTTAAATACAACTTTCCAATAGCATAAATAATAAATCATCGCTAGCAATAACATACGGATGATACAATACAAATTGAGCTGTTAAATTTTAATACAAGCAACTTATATGATGTTTAAAATATATCTATTTTCACAACGTCTTTGCAGGTATATGATCAATGTTTGTCCTCATGGCAAGAGCGAAAAACCATATAGCAGATCCTCTAATAACTCTATTGGATACCTTGAGATACATATTTTAAAAAAAAGTAATGACATACAATAATAGTAATGATAATAAAAATATAATTGTACAATCATGATGCGTGTGGATGATCAAGAATATAATAGTATTCTTTCACGATCCGAAACCAACAATTCTATTTAATATATCCTATCATCACATAAATGCAGTTGTGCTCAGTTGTTCTATTTTATAGAACACTTAAATTAAAAGGATCAACAAGCTTCTTTCCTAGTCATTGTTTCAGGAAATTAGTACCAGCTCTGCATGCACTTGAAACCACAAAATGCAATCTAATAGGAAGCTGCTCTAGCAAAATAGGCATTCAAGAATCAAATGCAAATTTATCTTACAAAAACTAAGCCAATCAAACAGGACACTACTCGAGTAAATTTAGTATTCAAGATACATATCATATGTAAACATGACTAATACTCTTAAATTTAGAAAGAAGTCAAATTCAGAAGCTCGCATTGGTAAAAGAGATTATGTTAGCGTTAAGAAGTTCCACATCGATAAAGAAATGGGAAATTTGTCTCCTTATATGAACTTGGAAAAACCTCCAATAATGAGCTAGCTTTTGAGGTTAAGTTAGCGCAGGTGTCATGTCTTCACAATTAGTAGCTTTGCAATATTCACTGTCCATTTATGCACTCACTAATGATTATCTCAAACAAAAGCAACATTAAAAACATTTCCATTAAATTAAAGGAGTTAAACTGAAATTTCATTCACCAGATTACTCAAAGATATCTTGTAAATCCTCAAAAAAATCAAATTCAGAAAATAAAAACTTTTAAAACTTAAATTTTCAAGTACAATCATGTTTTAGAGCTTAATGAGAGAGTCCTTTATGATATTTTAAACTATTGGATGAAATTATTATTGTTATTTAATTTTGTCGACTATTGGATGACACAAACTATTGGATGAAATTATTGTTGTAATTTAATTTTGTCTGACTATTGGATGAAATATTGTTGTAATTTAATTTAGTCCCAAAGTAGATAAGGATTTTCAAAAAAAAGAGAGTTGCACATATGTGTTCCATGGAAAAACAAACACATCCCTAATTTTAGAATTTTTCAGTCAATAAAACAAATACTTCGCAAAACCTATCTCAAATATAGCTAATTTAATTACCTCTAATGATGTATAAGGAAAAAACAATTGCATTTAGAAGAAAAACCTGAGATTAAATTTAAAGGGGCTCTTGAATTGTCGGCCAACTAACTTCTAATCCAGAAAGAAATACATGTGGTGGCTTGTGCGAAGGAGTGACAAGTGACAACTTATGAAATATGTGCCACAAATATGAACAGAAATTCGAAAAACTAAAGATAATAATTATTTACGACGTAGAAAAAACAGAGAAGAGCACCATAGTAGCAACAATCTCTCTGCAATTCCTTGCACTTTTGTTTTGTTATTAAACAAAGGAGATAGAGAGCAACATAGTAGCAGAGGAGAGATGAAGGAATTCCACGTAAATTGAAACAAAGAGAGTAATATATATTATTTTTAAAATTATATAAAAAGTACTAACAACTTAAAATCATATAAAAATTTGGCTAACTTTTCAAGTTCTGACACTCCCTTCATTCCATATTAATTAACTATTATTCTAAAAATAGTTGTCTCATATTAGTTGATCATCTTACTAAATCAACAAAACATTATTTAAAATTTTCCTATATTACCCTTGCCGTTAATTCCTTTTGAAAGTGTCACATTTGTTTGTAAAATTCTCACAAAGTTTTCTAAGGGTTGAATTAACAAAGTTATTTTCTTATTTATAATTTCTTCAGTACCGTGCAAAATGAAAAGTAATCAATTAGTATGAGAGGTTGGTGAGGTCGTCAGTGTACCACACCAATCAGGATGGACGAGGTTGTTTTGTCCTAACGGTCAATAACTCTTTATGGTTGATATTGTCAACATGACAAACAATAAATCACACATTTATTCAAAGAGAGAATATTCAAGCTTCAACAAAAACAACAAGGGGCCTCATATACTGATGAATTGCTTCCTAAATCAGCTGTTATTTTGATTGCTTGTATTTGTGCTTACTTTGTTGGATTCATTTCACATGTGTTAAAAATGTTTCAAACCTTGGGTGAATCACTGTAAGAGCTTAGTTGAGAGAAACTTTGTGTCTTACGTTAAAAGTTTATATTAATCAGTTGGGTTAGTATAGTGGGCAATGCAGACAATGTTTTGACTCATTGAGTGATAGTTGTATTACTCAAAATAGAGATTAGGAGGTTAATCTCATGTGTGTTGTAAACTGTGTTTTACTTTTACTTGAGAAGATTAGTAAAAATAGTTTGAAAATCTTGTGACACAGGTCGTGGTTTTACTCCCTTGAGCAAGGAGGTTTTCACATAAAGTTGTGTGTGCTATCTTTACTTTCAGTATTTTCTTTTGTTTATCTTAACTGTGTTAAGGACCTGGTCCTATCGTAACTAGTGGACGCATACATTCCAACAAGTGGTATCAGAGTTTGACTTTTCTATTTGGGTAACTCCAAGAAAAGAAAAGATCCTGAAGGAATGGCTGCTCCACCGAGCCTGGAAGAAGGCCAGTCCACCACTAGACCACCTTGCTTCAACGGACAATTTTATGGATGGTGGAAGACGCGCATGAATGACTACATCAATGCTGAAGACACTGAGCTATGTGATGTGGTTCTTGACGGACCTTACATTCCCACCAAAGAAGTAGTAGATGGAGAACTAACCAAGGTGATTACCAAAACCAGAAGGGAATACAATGAAGATAACATGAAAAAGATAGAAAAGAACTATAAAGCAAAAAAGCTGCCAGTGTGTGGGATTGGTCCAAATGAGTATAACAAAATCTCTGCGTGCAAGACAACGAAAGAAATATGGGATTGTCTCAAAACAAATCATGAAGGAACGACACAAGTGAAGGAGTCTAAGGTAGATATACTAACGACTCAATAGGAGAATTTCTGTAGAAGGAAGGCGAAACCATCCACGAGATGAATACAAGATTCACTTCCATAACCAACGATCTAAGATGTCTTGATGAGCCTATTCACCTAAGCAAACAAGTTCGAAAGATTCTCAGGGTGCTTCCCAAGTCATGGGAGAGCAAAGTGAATGCTATCACTGAAGCAAGAGACCTGAAGGTACTCACCATGGATGATTTGATTGGAAACCTTCAAGCCTACGAGTTGAACAGGCAACAGGGGTCAACCGTGAAGGAAGGAAAGAAGGAGAAATCAGTGGCCTTGAAAATGTCTCTGAATGATGGGTCAGAAGAGGAGGATGAGATGACATACCTCACTAAAAGGTTTTAGAAGATAATAAAAAATAATAGAGGGTTCCAAAAGAAAGGGTCTACCAGCAGAGTAGCAAATGCAAATGATCTTTGCCACAAATGTGGGAAGCCTGGACATTTCATGAGGGACTGTCAAATCCAGAAGCAAGAAGCTTAGGACTTCAAACCTCGCAGAAGGAACCAGGTCCTAGATCATGCCAGAAGAAAGGCTCACGCTGATCAAGTAGTGAAGAAAGCCCTTGCAGTCTGGGGAAATGGCTCCAGTGAATCAAATGAAGAAGAGGACAGTCATGAAGATGTCTCAGTGATGGCCATCAAAGATGATGAAACCGTGTTCAACTCTATTTTCTCACTGATGGCAAAATCGGACGATGAAGAGAACCAGGATGAGGTAACCCATTTTGATCTCAAAAGTGATCTAGATACTTTATCCATTAAAAGGTTAAGAAAACTTGTTGCAGTACTAATTGACTTAGTAGATGAACTAACCACTGAGAATATGATGATAAGTAAAAAATTGAGTCTGTGTGAGGATGAAAATGCAGCCCTTAACTCTCAAATGTCTGAAATGAGTGTTAGGACAAGTAAAATAGAAACTGAGAGCATGCAGCCCAGCGAAGAACCAGGTACTTCTGGGGTGGGAAATGGAAACTCAGTAGCTTTGTGGTCGAATTAGAAGAAAAGTTAAAGGCATCATAGTTTAAATTAGTGGCTTCTCTTGAAAAGAATTCTCAACTAATGAAGGACCTTAGTAAGATCAAGAAGAGCTGAACCATTCCCTAAAATTAACTGATTCGTCTAAGATCCTTTTGAACTTAACCAATCAGAAGTTCAACAACAAAAAGGGCTTAGGTTGTAGGCAGATAAAACCTCCCTACAACCCTCAGAGTAAATATGTCTCTATTTCTGACAATGTTTTGTGTACCCATTTTGGAAGAAATGGTCATCTGAAAGAAAAATGTGAGTCTCTAAAGAGAGTAAAAGAAAGACGGGGAGAATTTTCTCAAGTCGAGAAAAGGATATGTAAAAAATAAAAAAGTACCTGGTCCCAAATACCATTATAGCAAAAACACTTAGCCCCCGTGGACAGGAAGGTTTCTCATTAAACCTTTTGACAGTTTTTGGGAACTCCATCTCAAGTGGGTTCCTAAGTCTAATAAGTGATTCTTGTGCAGAAGATAAGAAACAGTCAGTGCTGGTACATGGATAGTGGATGCTCAAGGCATATGACTGGAGACACTCAAAACTCCTCTTTTTGGAAGCACACCAGGGCGGTGGTGTGTCGTTTGGTGATGAGAAAAAAGGGTTTCATTATCAGAATTGGGAAAATAGGAAGATCAGCAGAACATTCCATATACAATGTTCATTATGTGAATGGTTGGAAATATAATCTGTTAAGTGTATCTCAAATCTGCGTTAAGGGAAATGAAGAATTCTTATCTGACAGGTACCTGGTTACCAACTGTGTAACTAACAAAATTGTTATGTCTGCCAAAAGAGTCAAAAATATGTATGTTGCAGATCTTGACTCAATAGAAGGGGACATGTCACACCCCAACCCTAGGTGAGGCGGACAAGTACCATATGAACACATGCTTTACAAGTCACCTATGATGAGAAAGTAAAGTACTACTATGCATATATATTTACTAATGAGAAGCTTCATATACAACACATGTTGACTAGCTGAACCGATACACGTGACAAGTGAAACTATGAATTCAGATGATAGCTTTAGAATGTCTACAAAGCCTCTACTGGAATCCATGACTATACCACTGTGAACTACGCATAGTGAAGACTCGGCAAAGCGCCGAATCAACCTAGAGCTCACTAACAACCACTGAGTATCATGTGCTTCTATTGGGGAGATCTACTATTTGAGTACTTGTACCTGCAACATGAAATGCAGCGTCCCCAATAAGGGACGTCAGTACGAAAGAATGTACTGAATACGTAAGGCATAATACAACCATATGTAAAATGAGAGCTCAAGTGAAACCAAATACCAATAGATAAGGATTAGAGACCACCTTTGCTTTATACTTGTGGAATCGTACATGTTACATTCGTTTCTTTACTTTTCTTAGCATTATAATATTTATAAGACATATGATACAAATGACCAGCTGATCAGCGGTAGAAGAGGATGACCCATGCTAGGCATTTTAACCCTTGGGATGCTATCCTCATAATTCCACAAATTGGGATCGGCCCATGCTAGGCTTTCGCCCCTGAGCTGCCACCCTCTTATACCAATTGAGATCATCCCATGCTAGGCTTTCATCCCTGAGCTTCCACCCTTCTATACCAATTGAGATCGACCCATGCTAAGCATTTGCCCCTAGGCTGCCACCCATAATTATATAGATTGCTTCACTTAGATTTTTTAATCTTTGAGATTGTTGTTTTGATGTTCATAACTTTTTTGAGGATGCTTCGACTTTTTTTCCATGCAAGATAGCAAATAATAACAACTAGTATATGATCAATTTTTCCTCTCCCTTAACTGGACTATGACTGACGAATTACTGCAGGCATATATTAAATGAACCCTATAGTAGCTTTATTCAAATTGATGGAAGTCTATACATGTGAATAATGCTCTGCTTCTCTTTTGTACTAATGATTTAGATGAACTAGGTCCATGTATCTTCTATCTAGGTAACCTTTCTATTCCCCTCTTTTTTTTCTTGTTGTTATCAGGACCAAATGTCAAGACTTGAATCAATACTAAAATGACTTCTCTGTCTAACAAAGGTTCACAAAGTTGTTCCCAGGTGCGCGCGCCATTATAACTCGTTAGGATTGAAGAGTTGATACCTTTTTATTGCCTCATACACTTAGCAACCTCTCTTTCATAATCACCTATCTCACTCCTGTATAGCATCCTCATATAACCCCTACTCTTATGTTTAGGGAATTTGTCCCATCTCTTTCTATCGAGAAGCTCTACGTACATATTCGGCTCATATAATTCAAGCTTCATTCTCACATGCTTCCTATCTAACAAGTACCTTTTAATCAAAACTAGTAGCTTCATGTACTCTAATCCCACTATGTACAGCCTGACTAATCACAACTTAGATCTAACCAATCAATTTTTTCCTTTTGTTAACCTTACCCTTTAGTCACATACTAATCCTTCATAGCCAAAACATAAATCATAATAGGAACTACGGGTATATATCATTTGCAGAAATTGGCTCACTTATCCCTAAGTTTTATAACCATGAAAAGAATACATATGTTATTAGTACTTATTCAGGGTTGTTGGCACATACCATATAAAAGCCAAAGATTAACATATTTGGGATAATATATGGTAAGAATTTGGGCCTTGTCAGCCAATTAGGGGTATCTATAGTAACACTATTGCACTGATACATCCACCTCTCAGATTGTGCCAATGCCTTCTTAAAAAAAAAAACTAGTTCAACAACATCAATTTCAAGAACATGTGTAATGCTGAAAATTCTATGTATATCATAGACTCTTAACAAGTGTCCTCTATAGGAATAGATACTATAAATATGGAGGAAATATAGAACCCAAGAGTTGAATACATCCTCCTAAGAAAATGTGCTTAGAAATGCTACAACTCATATTTGTAACTAGGTAACCCATCATTTTTAAGCATATGGATAACCATACTATATTTTTCTCAATTGAACCAACGTGATACAAATGGTAAAGATGCAACTTAAAATCCATATAACATAAAAGCCTTTACATACCTTGTGGAGTGGGACGATCGAATAAAATGAGCTCAATGTAGTCTAAATTTTGATAACTTCAGATCCATTTCTGTAGATTGCATGTTGACATTCTAGCTACCATTAACCTTAACCATCGTAAGCATAATATGAATAACATGATCAGGTGAAAGTGGAAATTGACTTCTTAACTTCGCTCTATCGCACAATTTGGATTACGAAGGAGGGTAACTTTTGCTAAATGTCCAAGCAGCTCCCTAATTATAAATGTGGCGCACAACACATTCATAAGTAAGGCTCTACTAGACACGACTTTGTAGACTCTCTAGGACGAACTGCTCTGATACCACTTTTGTCACACCCAATCCTAGGTGAGGCGGACAAGTACTATATGAACATATGCTTTACAAGTCACCTATGATGAGAAAGTAAACTACTACTATGCAGATATATTTACTAATGAGAAACTTCATATACAACACATGTTGAATAGCTGAATCGATACATGTGACAAATGAAACTATGAATTCAGATGATAGCTTTACAATGTCTACAACGCCTCTACTGGAATCCATGATTGTACCACCATGAAATACGCATAGTAAAGACTCAGCAAAGCCTCAAATCAACCTAGAGCTCCTAATAATCGCTGAGTATCATGTGCTTCTATTTGGGAGATCTACTAGTTGTGTACTTGTACCTGCAACATGAAATGCAGCGTCCCCAATAAGGGACGTCAGTACGAAAGAATGTACTGAATATGTAAGGCATAATACAACCATATGTAAAATGAGAGCTCAAGTGAAACCAAATACCAATAGATAAGGATTAGAGACCACATTTGCTTTATACTTGTGGAATCGTGTATGTTACATTCGTTTCTTTACTTTTCTTAGCATTATAATATTTATAAGACATATGATACAAATAAACAGCTGATCAGCGGTAGAAAAGGATGACCCATGCTAGGCATTTTAACCCTTGGGATGCTATCCTCATAATTCCACAAATTGGGATCGGCTCATGCTAGGCTTTCGCCCCTGAGCTGCCACCCTCTTATACCAATTGGGATCGTGCCATGCTAGGCTTTCGTTCCTGAGCTTCCACCCTTCTATACCAATTGGGATCGACCCATGCTAGGCATTTGCCCCTGGGCTGCCACCCATAATTATACAGATTGCTTCACTTAGATTTTTTAATCTTTGAGATTATTGTTTTGATGTTCATAACTTTTTTGAGATTGTTGTTTATATGTTCATAACTTTTTTGAGATTGTTCTTTTGATGATCATAACTCTTTAGAGATTGTTGTTTTGGTGGTCATAATCATTGTTGAGATTTGAAACTATGGACCAGTAGTAGAAGACATATGGATATGGACTTACGATAATAACAATGACATGGGAAGCAAATGTGACATGAACGTGTAATACTTAGGAGCTTATATAACTCAGTAAGCATTTTGAAATCTCAAATCGAAGCACATATCAAGTGAAGACATTTAACATTCAGCCAAGAGATTTGAACTCTTTATGATAGACAAATACTCACTAACTAATATCAATCAAATACAAGGTATACGTGAACGTGGAACCAAGGGAGAACGTGGGCAGATTCAACTTTAGGACGAATACATATTCCAAGTAAGTACATATAAAATGTACAATAGAGCAAGTAGGGATCTTGTGAGGTAACATTATAGTCTAACACAATGGTAGTAATAACCAATAAAGGGAACATATGAACATATGAAAATATGACATATATATAGATAAGTGAAGCAAGTTGGCATGATATGAGCAGATTGTATATCCAACATATAAACATATGTACCATGTGTAATCTAGGATCATTTTGATTTATATAAGGGAAATATGTGCAAAGGGTACTTTGACGATGAAACAAGTTTAAACCTTGCATGTTAATACGTGGTAGAGTAAGCACGTACATTTAATAACAAA